TATAATGTTAGTTTGGCTTGAAGATCTTGCAGCGTTTATCGAAGCATGTCTTTGCATTTGTCCAAGAGCCCTGTTGGACCCTGGTTTTGTATTAAAACTATCCAATACCTGGGCAACAGGGCTAATTTTGGAGAGCAGGATGATGATRATTAACTGGAAACAGTGAATCATTGCCCACTGACATCATGGTTACAGTGACTGCCATTCGTATACATACCCCCGTCCCAGTGTTTAAGCAAACCCTCACTTTTCAACTGACCAATGGTACTGTATGTCTGCATTTACAGCTCCCCTGGGGTAAAAAGGGCCAGTCAACATTTAAAAAAGGAGTCAAGCTTCCTTACTTCCTTCTCTGTACCACAGTGTCATTTACGGGTCTTCAGTGATGTACTTCACTTGTATTACCAGATTCACTAAGTCTGATCTAATTGAAATCATGCAGCATATACRGGGAAGCTGAGGGATTATGTTTCAGTGGAGGGAAAATCCCAAGCAGGTTCATAAAGCAGCTTGTAAATCAAGGGGAAGGAAGGAGCAACAGGCCCTCTAGGTATGCAGCATCTCTGCAAGGGGTGMTGAGGGAAGATTAGAAAGTTTGCAAGGTGAATCACTGACGGAGGTCATTATCCTACATCTGGAATCAACACAAGAAGAATTTATTTTTCATTCAAAATCACGTAACAGGAAAACTGTTGAGCAGGGATGGTTCTGACCAAATATAGTCTGTCTGGTTATTTGTAAACCATCAGGCTCCAGGTCACGTAATTTCTTTGCCATTTTGTGACTAAACTCTTGCTGAGTCCCAATTCAGTGGTTGTAGCCTGCCTAGACCACAGTTCATGGAGGCCGYAACCTTCGCGGCCCGTGTAGACTGCATTAAACGAGTAAGGGGTCTCTGCAGTAAGTTTTGTCCTGTGGGCGGAGACAGCCCTACTTGTGATTGGCGGAGGTTTCGATGTGGGCGGAGATGGCCCAAATGACGTGATTGGTCAGATTGATGGTGGGGTTTGAGGAGGGTGGAGGCAGTGGGGAGTAGCTTGATCGAGCTGGGCAGGAAGYAACAAGTTTTTTAAGATTAATTTTAGTCATAACTTGAGAAAGGAAAGTACTAGCTGCACAAAAAGGAAAGTGCTAGCTGCACAAAATTTGAACATCATACATGTGAAAGGATGTGTAACAATACGGCTTGGTTAAAACATTCCTAACCAGCCTGTAAAATGATCGCTAAAAATCAGTATTTTTTTACAGGTTGGTTAGAGATGTTTTGACTGAGCCATATTGTTACACATCCTTTCACATACACGACTTTCAAATTTCGTGCAACTAGCACTTTCTTTTCTTAAGTTATGACTGAAATGAATCTAAAAAAAAGTTACTTCCTGCCCGACTCGACCAAGCTACTTCTCRCTTCCTCCAGCCTCAAACCCCACCGTCAATCCGACCAATCRCGTCTCTTGGGCCATGTCCGCCCACATCAACACCTCCGCCAATCACGAGTAGGGCCKTCTCCRCCCACATCAAGACCTCCACCAATCACGAGCAGGGACGTCTCYGCCCACATTAAGACCTCGGCCAATGACGATTTGGGCCGTTTCCGCCCACAGGACAACACGTTCTGCAGAGACCCCTACTTGCATTAAACGGCTGTGAAATGAGACGGTCTAGTTCGGATGGCATATCTTTGGGTGACCATGCACTACCCTGTTAACAATGTGATATGTTTTATATCATGTGCCTTCAGACTGGGGGTGGAATCTTAACTAACACCTTAAAGTTTGGTACAAAAAGACATTAAGTTGGGAAGAAGAGATCAAGGCAAGATACAAAAAGACACTTGTAAAGCAGTTCATTTTATTACCCACAAAATCTGGGTACAAAGTGTTTTAAAATCCCAACGTCAAGTGGCAAATGAACAAAGAACCCATCATACAAATCACCACTAAGGAGTATTATGTGGTGTTATTGTACTCCATCATCAGTGATTGGCCTAATAGTGTAAGCATTAATAGATAAGTGTACCAGCCAACACATTAAATCATTAATAGTGGTGATAGTCAGGGGTGTAATATGCCCAGTGGTCTTGCCCCAAGCTATAGCACCACAATGCTCCTGGGGTTGGCATTATCTACACTTGTCCCTCCAGTGGGTTGGCTTGACAATTCTTTGATGGCTTCATCTGCCCACATTGCATTGCTGCTCTGTCATCACTATTCATCGCAGTAATATCTCGGCACTTGGTGTCTYTTTTTGTTAATACTGTATTTATGGAGTCAGTTTGTGAAGTCTACAACTTGCCCTTCCACARTGACAGCAGAAGGAGCAGAGGTTGTTCACTGTGCAGGGAAACGGAGCTGACACAATCAGTTAGACCAATGACAAGTGGGCTAGAATCTTAAGTGGTTTATGGAGAATTTGTCCCACTTGAGCGGTATTAGTAAGTTTTACATTCAAGGATTACTCCTCTTATGACACGCTGTGGCATGTCAGTTGGATGTTTTAAGTCTTTATATTACAATTGCTTGTTTTAGCATAAAATCCTTCAGCTCTTTATCATTTAAACCCACATGCATTACCTAAAGCTCAACCCTTGCGCATGAAGTGCCTTTTTTTTTCTACAAAAAGACAAGTAAAGACTTGGAGAGGTTATATATAGTTTTTTTTATTATTATTTCTGAGTACTTGTACAGTGTATAAGAACAGAAGCAGGACCAACCAATATTCTTTGGGACTGAAATCTTGGCTTTGCAGTTTTACTCATTTCGATGAGCTCAGCAGGCTCAAATAGACCACAGGGTAAAATGTTAGAGTAAAAGGCAGTAAAAATATTCCAGATATTTTCAATCTACTTTGCATCTGTGTGTGTGAGTATACTGTAACAGAGCCTGGGCCTTCAAAGTTGTCTGTCAAATGGTGTCCCAGGTGTCCTTAAGCTCCTTCCACTCAGACAAACAGGCATCCATCTGGGAACATAATGAGATTGTCTTCCTGGTTTAGCCGCCTGAGGGGGTAACAGGTTAGTGGAGTGTGACCTTTTGGCCACCCGTTTTCCACTTTCAGGGTCTTCAACTGTCAAGGACACATGAATCTGTATGCATGCAGTGTCTCTTCTGTTTACAYCAGAAAACAGACCTGGTGCAGTTTTATTTTATTCCACACAACCAAGTTTTTAACCTACATCTGTAGGTTCTGGGCGTGTCTCAAGAACCCTATAATTTTCCAATGAGTCACTTTTGGGTGTTGATTTCAGTACTTTTGAGTCTGCAAGTCCAGGCTGTGAAAAATATTTTTCCTTATTTATGCCTAGCTATTAGGAGATTAAGGAGAAACAAAGAGACACGTTTACCTTTCTGAAGTAATTCTGTGGAAAAATTACAATTAGTATCGWTTAATGAAATTTTAAGTAGATGTGTTCAAATATTTGAGCATTATTTTCTACCGTTAAAAAAAATAGAGCTATGGAAACAAATCTTAATGTCTCTTGTCTTATTGATCACGTTTACATGTAAAGGCTGCCCAGGTATATTTGGACCTTATGATTCTGTCACATTTTTCCTATGTGTATTTGTCAAGAAATTCAATTATGATTTTCATTACATTGTCTCTGGGCCCTGTGATGGACTTGCGACCTGTCCAGGGTGTACCCCGCCCTTCGTACTGTGACTGCTGCATATGGGCACCAGTGACCCACGCAACCCTGAAAAGGAAGAAGYGTGTACAGAAAATGGATGGATGGATGTCTCTGGAAAAAAATAGATCAAATGCCAATGAAATTGCAAATAAATAAATAAATAAATAATATAGGATATTTTATTGAGCAGAGATTATGTACATTTCTCATTTATAAAATATTTTTTTTAAAGTGTACATGATTTTGTTTCAGTTAAAGTTAGTAAAATAATAAAAAAAATACAAGGTCTTCAGTTTTGGAATTGTTTGCCAAGAGAAAAAATAAGCAGCAAACTTATGGACTGTTTCACTCAAAAAATACTACTACTAGCATTGGTTATTCTTTTTCATTTGTGTATTCTTATTGATCTCCTGTTATTTGTATTAAAGGTATGGTCTGATCGTTTTGAAATGATATCTGATATGGTAGATATGAATAGTTAGTTCCTTATCAGCCATAAAGTGAGTTACAGAAAATGATCCCTGTTTTTTTGTTTGTTTGTTTGTTTGTTTGTTTGTTTGTTTGTTTGTTTGTTTGTTTGTTTTTTTAGGCAAAGAATGCTGGTTTGATAATTGTGAGACTTCACAACTGATTAATTTCCTACAAATTTTATTTACAGACGAACAGTTGCATTATTTGATAAACAGATAAACTGAGCTGTACTAAAATATACATTATTAATAGTGTCTATGGATGGTAATTCAGATGATGATGATGAATTTCTCTCCTGGTAATTCATCGGCTGTTGTTTCTTCCCAACCATAGTCATAGTTTTTATGTTTGTATAAGAATATTTTCCTTCACTCTCGTTGGTTACACTGAATTCAGACCTGATTTTTGTCTTCGTGTTTGATATTTTTAAGATTGTTGAGCACCGTGTCTCTGTCGGTTTGGGATGTTTCGACCAGTTCAGKTCGTTTGATTTGAGTTATTTTTGTTTTCTGTTGTTACTTGGATAAATTCAGATGGTTAATGCAAAATAATTTTTTTCTCCTGATACAGTATATACTTTTTTAAGGGAACAGTATTTTTACAGTCTTTATTTTACAGTTAAAATATATGTTTATTAAATAAAGTCTAATGTTACAACTAATCAYGGATCCCTTTAAATGATGTTTTAACTTGTCTTCATGCTAAAAGTTTCAGATTTTTACAAGTTTTTAAACTAATTTAACTTTCAAGTAACTTATTTGTTCATAAATCATTTAAGCAGCATTATTTAATTTATTGCATATTATTTATTTCACCTGTCCGTCCTTTTTCTAAAYGTAATCATTTAATCCTGGATGCTCAGATAGGCTTTAGCTTGACAGGTGTTCTTTGTGTGTGGCAGGAAGATCTGTGTGCACTGTAAGTGTCGCCGTGAAGAGCATGCAGTGACAGCCATGCCTGTAGAAATGGAGAAGACGGTCACCAAGCTGATGTACGACTTCCAGAGGAACTCGACATCTGACGATGACTCAGGCTGCGCCCTGGAAGAGTACGCCTGGGTACCTCCTGGACTAAAACCTGAACAGGTATTTGTAACTTTCCTCTCATGCTGATATGACCCAGTTAGCCTTAACACTGGCACACACTGAAATCTCTGCAAAGTTCTCATACCACCAATAACGTGTTTCACTTCTGTAATTTCAAATATGTGGAAGAAAGAAAATCCTTGGCAATATTAGTTTTGTACAACATAATTTTTTTGCACCTAGAAGCTTGTAAATTTTAACACATTTTCAGACCAATGTGCTATACAGGTAGTAAAACTTCCAAGTGCTACAGTGTAGTGTCTTTGTGTTGTAATTGTTCACTTAGGCCCCATGTAATAGCTCGCCTGTTGTGCTGACTGCACCTTCTGCGGGGCTAATGGACAGCAAGGATTACATGGCTTCAGCTGTCAAATTAATCTCCACTTCTTTCCGCCTGCAAACATGTTTACAGTAGGTGTCTTGGCCCTCACAAACACTGGGTCAATCCTGCCTAACGCGTTCACCAGCCTCGTGCACGCTGAAGCAAATCCGCCCAAATAGTACTCACGCTGAGCTGTAGGTGTTCACGTGTGGGAGGGTTCCCAGTTTAATTGGACAATGGGGGGGGGGATTTGGAAGCTGGTTTCATTTTGTTGTTGAGCTGAGTCAATACGCTGTTGGCAAAGCTCCCCGTTTCCCTATCTGAGGTCTGAGAGCAGCTTTTTTTATTGTTATTCCTTTCCAGGGCGACACTTCCTGTATAACCCAAAACTGAATGAAGTTTTTGTGTGGTGGCAATAGGATCTCACAGATRATGAGATAATGATGAGAAATGGGCAAGGTGATACTTTTTAAAGTGATAGTCTCGATCTTTTGAAGTGCAGTTTTGTGGAAATGATGGACAATTATCAACTAACCTGTAGAAAACTCTTTAAAATACCTTAGTCTAGCAAAGTGGAGCTAATGGCTTGTATGTACAGGGGTAAAATGACATGTACCTCAGCTCAGGCTGTATTAACTTCAGGTTTGAGACCATGTTGCATTGGGAAGGACATTTGACATAAAACAATTGTTGCGACCCCTTAAAAAGGGAGCTGCTGAAACAAAAATCTATGTAAATAACACTGTAATACACAGATTTAAAGATTTATAATTGTCGTTTGCATGAACTACTTTGACATTTTGAGACTGGAGTTGTTTTAAAACATCAGTCCAATTTAGTCTTGACCCTGTTCTGCCGTTATCAAATTAGTCCTATCAGGATCTACAACAATTAACAGCGATTGTTTATAASTGTTCCACAAAGCCCCAAGTTCAAAGAATCTTACCAAACACCTTGATAAAGATATGTGAGAATTTGAGGGTTAGATGAGTTCCAAGCTGGATCAGGGTCCTTTTGTYCCAACCTGTCGTTTTAAGGCTGTGAAGCTTTGAAAACTTGTTGTGCAGCTTTTTGCATAGGAGCAGATTTAAACAAAAAGATGAAGCTGAGGATCTAAATGGTGGGTTTTAGATTTCCACACTGGGAGCCAAAGCTCTTTATTAGACTGCTATTCAGCCAGCAGTGACATGTAATGAGAGATTCTTCTGCAGCTGTATAACTTTTAGTTAGAGATGTGTGAGATGCTATGAAAGTCTTGTTTCTGTCTTCAAACCCTGTTTAGAGATGTCTTTCCTAAATTAAAGTTTTGCATTGTGTCAGGAATGCCTCCACTCCTCCCTGTTTTTTTTTTTTTTTTGGTCCTTTTAAATAAAATTATTGGATGTTGCCCAGTTGGAGTTCATCAAGGCCGAGACTGTTTCTCAGTAGTGGCGCTTTTTTTTTTTATGTAGCAAGAGCTTCGGTTTAATATGCAGACTGCGCTCAGCACTTACAGGAATCTGATTTTAATCTTCAGTCAAACATGAGGTATGCTTTGCAGCTTCTTACATGTGGGATATTTATGTGAGCAGAAATTTGATTGAGAGAATGTAAACTAAATGCAGGTCCCGGACCTGTGGCTTTGGAATGGATCAGTTAAGTTTCAAAYGGCACCGAGCCCTCTGAAAGAGAACCAGCGGCGGTTTGACCTGCTCCTAAATAGACCTAAACACAACTAGAACAATTCCAGTGAAAGGTGGGGGACAGTAAAACTGTCAGATGCTGCCATGATTACAGCTGTCTGACTCGGCCGACTTGAGAAATTGTGGCTTTTCTCTTTTCCTGTCATTCTAAGCTGATGTTGGTGATTTGTACAGCTTCTGGGTACATTTCCAAAACATTTCTCACAGACATTTATGGTCCCTGTTGGATGGATTGTTGAGATCCTCTCTGTTAGATCTGGTGCTGCCCTCAAGTCAAATGTTTTGTTTTATGAGCAAATATCTCCAAAGTTGATCGCATTCCCATCAATGTGACTGTGTTGTTTGGTGACCTATGGCCCACATATGGCTGCATAAAGAGGCAATTTCTCTAAGACTGCAAGGGAAGCTCAGCTTCCCCTAAAATGTAAAAAAAAAAAGATAAAATATACACTGTTGTGTGTTCATGTCATTGACTAAATATGCGCTACAACGTGCTCAACTTTTGTTCAGAATCAGCTTCTTATCACTGGTAACGACGTGGCTTTCCTCATTTCCCTCATTTCCGCAGCTTCACGGTGCTTTAAACAGTCGGACTCTGAGCGTCTACAGAGCTCATTAGCGATGCAAAGACTGCAGCTAAACGAGATTGGATCATTGGATAAATGCTGGCTTTGTCCCGCCCATCGGACGCTGAGCGTCTCAGGGGGTCTATGGAGTAGGGGGCTGGGTCGGACGCTCATTGTCTGCATGATTATTGGATGATCTGTCGGAGGCTGAATCCCTTTTTGATTGACAGCGAAATGAACGAATCAACGATCTTTTTGGTGTAAATATGCATGGGAGCAGTTTTTAGTTTCGTTTCTGTTCTGAGTTGAAGCGGAGACTTAATTAATCCTTTTAGCAGCATTTTCTTTGTTAAAAACGACTAGCAACAAATCGAGCTTCTATTTCTGGTGTTATTTCTGTAGCTGCTTATGTTTGGAGACTGACTTCTATCACTCTTTCGGACTTCTTCTGTCCAGCGGGGGCTGCTGAGCCCCTTCACCATCATAAAACACTCACAGACGGACACACTTCACAATAGCCTCGTGCCAGTAACAAGCTGCACACAATAGCAGTTTGAATGTTGTGGACCGGATTTTGGTGAAGCCATTATAGTCTTGTTTACAGTGAAAAACTTAGAGTTAAACAGCAGGGCTGATCAACTCCTTGGATTAATTTGGTGCAAAAGGTGGGGAAAAATAACAGGTCTTTTCAGCTGTCCTGGTATGACAAAGTGAGCTGGCTGCTGTAAAAGACTATAGAATAATCTGGAAAATTACTATAAAAGCATTGGATCAATTAATTCCTTTAAAAAAATCAAAGCAAAATTGTTAAAGAAATATGAAATTGTTTAATTTGTAATGAGTCATTGTTTGAGGAGTTGAATTTTTTTGTTTTGTTTTATTATTTGGTTTATTGTTTGAAATTAATATTTTTTGTAAATAGGAGCAGATATCATAAGATATATTTCTTTTTCTGCTGCCTCATTTTATTTTATTTATATTTTGTTATATGTAATGTTTTGTTTTTAAAAAGGAAATGAATAAATACTATAAACAAAATGATCTGTGACAGGGTCACAGATCATTTTCTTGAAAAGGAACGGAGGGTAAAATTTATAACCCACACATTTTATGATGTAGGCCGAAACTGAGCTTCCTCTTGTTGAAAGACCAACATCCGCCACTGGTTTGTGGCCTTTTGTAAATCTACAAGTAAAGGTAGACAGTTGATCAGTCAGCTGGTTTCTGCAATTTCGAAAAATCGGTATTGACAATGCCAGCGCAAGTTAGGATGGTTAAGTGACAAACATACAGTATCTGTGGGCACCGCTTGTGATATTACACCTTAGTGTCAAACAAACAAGACCAGGAGGCCTTTTGTTTATAGCTCAGGAGCTTTTTGGAACAGAATGCTATCAGATCCTAAAGTAAGTTGAGCAGAACTGAATGTGAACTTTTAAAATAATATATGAACAAAAAAAATGACAAACATATCTTCTTTTTGACCTTTTAGGTTTCTTTATTTCTAAATATTGCTATTTTTATTGAAAAACCTGTATCATTTCTACCTTCAAGCCAATGTAAAATTAAAATAAAAGATTTCCTTTAACTTTAATTATGCATGTTTAATGGTTAAGTGTAATACAAAGAGATAAATTGCAGTGAAAACAAATAAAATGTAAGCAAAAATGTAAAAAAAATGTTCCAATAGGCTCGAAACCATTAAATTAGAGTTAAAATTGAGAATTTTAGTAAATGTTGATGTTTTAGTAGCTGAAAGTCAATCAACACATCGCAATGTCATATGACTTTGTGCATGCTTTTCTTTTCAAGGTCTGACTAAAATGGCTAAAACTTGTTTCTCAGCCTAAGGTGAGGTTAGTATAAAACTCTGGCATGAAAGGTGACAAACGGCGTGCATTCCTTCAAGGAATCCTAGGCCTCTAATAATTATATGGTTTCACCAAACACAACTCCAGAGTTAATAACACAGCTGCCTTTATAGAAACGCAGCAGACATGTTTAATGTGTGAAAATGTGTTTTACAAACAGTCACTTGTAATGACTGCATTTCATGAGGCAGAAAAGGTCAGAACCTCATTCAGTACAAGCAGCCAAGTGTTCAAACTTTGGACACCTAAAGTTTAACCACTCAGCTGAATACAATGAGTTCTCTCAGCCAGCCCTAAGGCTCCATCAGTGCAGAAAACATGGGAGGGGGCTTTAAAAGGCAGGGGAGACGTTTCTGCTGGACAGATTTCAGGTTAAAATAATTCCAGTGAGGGTAACCTAATTCTTCCACTGGATGCCCACTTTAGGATTTGATTGAGACGATGGACGTTTTGTCTGTTTTATCCTCTCACTACATATTTGACAGCATTGTCAAACAATTTACCATCTTCTACAAGATATTTTATTTGACATTATAGCTGCTGTTCTTACAACAGACACTTGAGTTCTTTCTTTCCCAGTTATTGTTCAGATTCACTGATTTGGCATTGATTTAAATGACATAGGCCCAGTTTACACGTGAACAATCTTTGGAAACATTAAGTGTTTTTTTCTGTGTTTATTGTGGCAAATAAACATGAAAAACATATCAGCATTGCTGTCCTTGTTGAATCTGCCATAGTTTCCATAACAGGCAAGGTTATGATAGGTAATGACAAACTATTGTATTTTTGCTTCAAATTATTGTATTTTGACCCAAACTATGGTATGTGCTGAACGAGGATGGACTGTTTTGGAGTGAGGAGGTTATAAGATGTGTAGTGATTAGAGAACATGCGCAAAAAAAGAGGGGGAGTTGAAAAAATATATTTAAAAAGTGTTAATTATTGTATATTTGGCAACATTGATCCCAGGTGATTAAACACTGAACAGACACTTCAGTCTTGAACATATAAATGGGTACATTTAAAATTGTAAATACCATTATTTGGGCCGAGTATAAGGGTCCGTCTGCTCTTTCACTTTAAAAGCTTCAGAGGACATGAACGATATTGTGCACAAGAACAGCCACATAGCAGCAAATAAGCTACAGTTTCACTCAAAATTGGTGTCTTGTAAACTGTTGCACTGACTGTTTTTTGTTTTAGTTCTGCTTGAAAATGCATTTATACCCAGCATTTTCAAACCACTAAAGGGATAGTTCACATCTTCACAAGATTGGTAGTATTAAAGCGAGCCCTGCTGTTCCCACTATGAGTAACATCCAGTTTGCAGATTTTGCAAGATGCAGTTTCAGCATCATTGTTTTCCATTGAAAAGTGTTCCCACACTGTGAACATGGCTGCATACTTGTGTGCATCTTGACTTCTTAACGGCAGTTGTAAAGAATGATGATGCTGAAAACTGGATCGGCCCGATCACATGACTAAATCCGATTCTACCCGATTTTCAAAATTGTCCATACCTGCCACCGATACCGAGTATTTGATCCGGACATCCCTTAATAATGTTTAAATAATAAAAATGTTTACTCTTTAACAGTATAAATTGCTATCAAAAGACAAAACATTACAAAACTGGAAATTCTGTTAAAAATATAATCAGTGGGTTTATTGCCTCTTGTGGTGTTTTTTTTTTTTTTTTTTTTTGTGTGCGTCGTCTTTGTCTCACCCTCATTTTCTGACTTGTATAATATCAGTGTTCACTAACCACTACAGAGAGGCTTGTCAAAGGAATGCCAGAGCTGGTGTCTAGTTTTGTTTGGTTTTTAGCAGCAACAGAAACCAGCTGTGAGAAGCGATCTCTCTTGTCACCCACCTCAAAGTCTTTCTGCTGGCCTTTAAAAACACGCCCCCTTCTGTTCAGTTTGAAATTCTGTGTCTTTAGTTTTGTCTGTTTTCAATTAGCTTTTTCGTAACAAGCTGCTTTTCCTGAATCTCGCTGAAAATCTCGTCTATAACACGCCCGTGTGTGTTTGAATCTTCTCCTCTGGGCTTTCATGTTTAATATCTATCCCTGTTGTTGGAGGTGTGCTTTGTGCTTTGTCATTAGCTCTGTTTGTGTTTATTTATCAGGGCTAGAGTCCTGTCAGTCCTTCATGAGCTATCATATGATGTCAACTCTAAGTTCGCCTCCACTCCAAGATCGTTCTGCTGCAGTCCCTCGTCCACACCAGCAGTGCAGAAGTTGTTGGGTTACACCTCCCAACTGCAAACCTGCTTCTATGAGGCTGTTTTATGGACCTGCAGCTCTGTTTTTTTTATTTTTTATTATTATTCGGATGCCTCGGCTTGAAGACTGTTTACCCTGAAGATGTTTTCAAAGACAATGGAATCCTAATTGGGGCCTTTGCTCACCGATGCACGTCGGGAGCATTCAGGTTAATCTGTTTTTGCCTGCCAGACTTGGCGTTATTGGGAAGGACAGAGCTGATGGCTTCTACTCAGTAAATCCATTCACCAGGGCAGCAGGTCATCAACACAGACACCAGCTAGTCAGCATGTATCGATCACAGACAGCGTTTCCACAAGGACACCAACATTTGCTTTGCTCTGTTACGTTTGTCTCATGTAATTCTTTTTTCTTCTCCTTTTTTTAGTCTTTTTCTCTCTTTTTTTGCCACTTTCATTTGCACCTCTTCTCCTCCTCTCATTCTGACCTCTGTCCTCAGATCTTCCTTTTTAGAACCAAGTGGTTTTATAGGGTTGCTCCTCCCCCTCAACTGACCTTTCTTAAACCCCGGCTCCACAGTTACGAAGTAATAAAGGAAACTAATAAATAACACAGAGATGACACTCATTGTCCTCCTTTGGAATGTAAAGAATGCTCAAGGAGTTAAAGTCCAGATTAGCATTAATTTGCTGCAGCACACATTCGGGAGCACATGCATTTTTATATTCGTGTAGGTTATTCACTGGTGTGTGTGTGTGTGTGTGTGTGTGTGTGTGTGTGTGTGTGTGTGTGTGTGTGTGTGTG